TGTGTGTGTGTGTGTGTGTGTGTGTGTGTGTGTGTGTGTGTGTGTGTATGGAGGTGAGAGGACAATCTTGGGTGTCCTTCCTTCAGTGCCATTCACATTTTTTGAGACAAGTTCTCTCACTGGGCTAGACCTCACCAACTAGGCTGTGATGTTAGCCAGCAAGTCCCAGGAATCACCCTATCTCCTCTCCAATCAGGTTTGGCTTTTTTCTGCATGGGTTCTGAGGACCAAACTAGTCCTTTGTTTTGATTTTCAAGACAGAGTTTCTCTGTGTAACAGTTCTAACCGTCCTGCAGCTAGCTCTTGTAGGCCAGGCTGGCCTCGAACTCACAGAGATTCACCTGCTTCTTCCTCCCAAGTGCTGGGATTAAAGGCATGCGCCACCACCGCCCGGCCCAAACTAGTCTTGAAAGCACTGTATAGACTGAGCCACATCCCCAGCCTCTGTTAACACCTCTTTGCCAATGCCCTGCTACCTTGCTGGTAGAGAGTAGCAGCTGAAATCTCAAGAACTTTCTAACCCATGCTCACAGTGGCGATTGGTATACACACACAGAAATGTCTAACCAGAAAGCAGAGGACACTGATCTAGCGAAACTGCCTTATCCTAGAGTGGAAGGGACAACCATTGTCATCGCGGAAGTCCTGTTTGAGGAGGTTACTGTAATTCCTGTAGCTAATCGGATCTGTCCCTCAGCCACTGGCCATGGAGGTCAGGATGCCTTGGGCTGACCCACTGACAAGAACTGCCAGTGACCTTTCTTACAGGCAACACTAAGAAATAGGTCTTATTTTCCTGCAATAGGAGCAGCGCTGTCCTTCCACCTACAGCCCCTGCAGCCATCTGCTGGGGGAGAGGGCATGATTTCCCGCCATGCTGAGAAGGAGACTCTGGGGAATCCATGCAGTTCCCAACAGGGATCACTTCCTGTTCTTTACTTTCAGTCTCGTTTCCTCCAGGTACCCCAAACTCCTTCCTTTGCTGCACTGGGTGGTTCCTGCACCTTATAGCCATGTTGGCGCAGTGCCCTCTACTTCCTGAAGAGTTCCTCCTCATTCTGTGCTCTGTGTCCCCCTCTGGGAGGCCTGATTCCTAGCTCCCATTCTCTTCCCTTCCCCTTTCAGAAACTCAGAATACATTGTTTTCTGCTGTGTGCCTGTGTTCTCGGCACTCCTAGAGGATTCCGTTGACATTAACATCCAGCCCTCTGAGTACCAGGCAGAGGATGCCCTCTGTCTATGATGGGATGTGAGCGTTGGGAGCATAGGCACCTCCTAGCACAATAAATACTTGTTGAGTAAACTGACAAACAGCCGATAAGTGCAGCCAAGGGACGGCGTGTGTATTAGTCGCTGCCAACAGTCATCTATGAAGTGCTTATTCCCTGCTAAGATGAGCTTGAAGATTGAGAAGAGATTCCAACCACAGTGACTCTGAAGCCACCTCTTTGATGAGGAATGATGACACTTTGGCTGGGGGAGTTAATACAATTGAGGTGGTAAACGCAAAGTGAATTCAGAAGGCTGAACGGTGGATTGCCGGGAAGGCAGTGGCAGAGACGGTGGCTACTGAAAAGTCCAGTGTAGTTACTTTCTTCTAACTGTAATATAAAAGTCAGCACCCGCCTTCCAGCCATGCTAGGCACCGCTAACCCTCTGTCTATTGTATTAAGACAAGGTCTCTTTATGTAGCCCTGTCTAGTATAGAACTTGCTATGTAGACCAGGCTGGCTTCACACTCACCGAGATCCACCTGCCTCTGCCTTCTGAGTGCTAGGGTTAGAGGCATGCACCAGCACACCTGGCCTATTCTGTTACCTTTTTAGACACAATTTTATTAATTTGCATTAATATACATGAGGTATCATCTGCTTGACATTCTTATATACCTTCAAGAACGTAATTATATAATTGGCCTTCCACAGGTAGTGTCAGGCCCAGTGTGCTGCTAAGTTTTTATCATCTTGACATAGACTAGAGTCACCTGGACAGAGATAACTTACAATGAGGAATTATCTAGATCAGATTGTCATGTAGGGCATTTTCATGATTAATGATTGATGTGGGAAGACCCAGCCCACTGTGGCAGTGCCATCCCTGGGCAGGTGCTCTTTGATTGCTTAAGAAAGAGCAGGTTGAACAAGCCTATAAGTAGCGCTCCTCCATGGTTTCTGTTGCTGCTTCTGCTTGAGTTCCTGCCTTGACTTCTCTCCGTGATGGACTGTGATGGAGATGCGTAAGCCAACCCAGCCCTGTCCACCCCAAA